ACATACAGCACCTCTTTGGAAAGACATGAATAATGTGGCTCAGAATTTCATACGTCAGTGTTTTGTTCACATTGCACAGTTGGTTTCCCTTTTGACAACACAATCCACCTCGCGGCTCCAAGACTACAAAGAGGTTTATTAAGGAAACTGAACAAAACTAGGAAGGGACACAATAAAGGGACCATGAGGGGTCAAAAAAGCAAAATGGGGAAAACAACAAATAACGACAAGAAACAATAGGATAATACAAATGGGGAGCAGATCAACATGGGGAGCAGAAATGGGCAAAGGAGCAGAGTAACAACACACATTGTAGCACAATAACCAGCTGAAGAAATGAAAGGCAGGAACTTAAATACACAAACTGAACATGATTGAACTTAATCAAGGAACTAAGAAGGAAACTAAGAAACAGAACCTAACACTAGGAATATAACAAAGATAAGTAATATATAACCAACAAGGCACAAAACAAAAGCCAAAACAGAATGCAAACCACAAACTAGGAACAAGAAAACTAATAGAAAAAAACACTCAGGAAGAAAAATCTAATAAATACAAGTAAACAGAGCAGGCTGGCTTCAAACTGATCACCAAAGGGTTTCCAGCCACACACTCAGCCCATAGAGCTATGCAGCAGTCCCGGGATTTGGGGAAACACATTAAGGACTTGAAGGACAAGAGACAGGTTGGCGAACAGGATGGCCAGCAGCACCTGCTGGCCAAACAGGGAGGGGACATAAAGGGCAGGGTTGGACATTACAGACCCTGACACAGTTAAGATTAGGAATAGGATACCCCATCAAAATGTATCAATATTTATTTTTAATGTCTTTAATGAACCTGCCAAGAACTCCATGCCTCTGTTGTTTAGCCAGCATCTCTCAGCATTCTGCTCGACTAGCAGACCTTCAGACCTGTTCTCTCAGAGCCTCCAAATCCACCCCTTGTATGTCCTCCATTAAACCAGATTAATGAGAAGCTTGGGATGTTTGGAGTGACACACACCTTGGCAGATGATGGCTACAGCAGTAAAACTGTTGCCAGTTCGACCATGCCAGTGAAAAACAACCTTGTGATTTATGATGAAGTTTACAGGTGAGTTATTTATTTGTGTGCTCTGTTTATTGTCTTTTAATTAAATGTAATGCCTTTTTCATATTGGATCATTACGATCATCATAGCCTTGTGCATATTATTTTATTCCAGACCTGCAGTGATCAACCATGGGATGTGGGACCAGCTCAGGGAGTTTTACATTTGTCTGTACATGCAAGAAAAGCTGTCAAGACACAGACACAACCTCCACAGGCCACCATACCTCCAAACAACATCAACAAGGCTGAGGTTTTTGTAATACTGAAAAAGAACTGAAATCATTAGTAATGTTTTTTTTGAGAAACTTTTACAATCTACAATTACATTCAGCTGTTGTATTTTCATACCATCTAGAAACATGCTTTGCGATCCACAGAATCTTCAAGTGGAAAGAATCTGGCCAGAGGTGAACAATCGAGTGAACTACCCATTGAAACAGGCCCTTGTACACCCGCTGGACCAAGAAGTAATCAGAATCAGCTTTATTCGCCAAGTGTGCTGGGGCACACAAGGAATTTGTTTCTGGCAGCTTGAGACTCTCTCATACACAGACAATAAGTGACACTATACAAACAAAGTACACTATACAAGAAATGCAAATGTGAAAAACTATAAATATACACACGTGGGTAACACTGTGCAGGTTTAAGGTGTGAGGCAGAGTGCAAACGGGGTAAATTTACAGAGGGCAGGTGACGCAGCTTAGCTGTTTATGAGGGTGATGGCCTGAGGGAAGAAGCTGCTCCTGTGTCTGGTGGTGTTTGTGTACAGAGTTCTGTAGCGCCTGCCAGAGGGGAGGAGCAGGAAGAGATTGTGTCCGGGGTGTGACGGATCTGCAATGATTTTGAATGATTTCCTAGTCCTTGAGCAGTACAAGTCCTGGAAGGAGGGCAGGGGGGGAACCGATGATTTTTTTCCGCTGCCTTTCCGCAGAGTGTCCAGTGTCTTCACAGAAACTGATATACAGTAGGCCTATATGTTCTTTTTGTATGTGTGTGTGTACAGTATGGGGGTAAGGGTTGGGTAAGGGACTGCCATTTGTTTTCTGCGTGTACGGCGTTTTTGTCCCTGTTTTGTGATTAGCGAGGGTTAGGATAGCGTTTGTCTTTTGTTTCACTTTTTTTTTGGGTTAGGGAAGTTCGTTGGTACGCGGGTAGTTAATTCACTGGATTTTGTTTATTGTTTTGGCCGGTGTCACTCCTGAAGCTCACCTTTTCCCCTGAAATACACAGTGTTATCATCTTCATCGCCTTGGGTGTTGATTATTCCCTCACCTCCTTCTCCTCTACCTCCCGACTCCCTGCTCCCCGTTCCCCGAACCTTATCACTGTTTACGCCCCGTCCCTAGACCGGGACGTAACAAAAGTAATACAAAATATCTATAATCTTGCACACAAAAACATAAAACCATAAAAGGTATTGCACCAATACTGTCAAGTTCTTTAAAGTCAAACAAAAAAATACAATGCCCTGGATGTGCATCCCACAAATCTCCATCAACTGCAAGACGCTATCCTATCAATATGGGCCAACATTTCTAAAGAATGCTTTCAGCACCTTGTTGAATCAATGCCACGTAGAATTAAGGCAGTTCTGAAGGCGAAAGGGGGTCAAACACCGTATTAGTATGGTGTTCCTAATAATCCTTTAGGTGAGCGTATATATAAAACAATATAAAACAAATTATTAAAATATACACATCAAAGAGTGTTTCACATGTAGACTTTGAACATTATTAATCTTGACCTTTCATTAAGGCAAAACAGAGAAATTAAGCACAGCAATGTTTTGATTTCACATGCTTTAACACTGCAATATCACTCACAAAATAAGTTTCCCAGTGCAGCCAATGCATCAGAGTGTTCAGTGACTCTTTGTATGTTATCAGCTCGACATTTTGGACAAAGGCTAGAATTGTTCTGCCACTCCTCAGTGCAGCTCCTGCAGTCAATAAGGCTTTGACAGCATGATGGAACCATGAGCTCAACAACTGGACCTGTTTGTGTTTTGAAAACAGTGAAAACAAAATTATTTTAAAGGCATTTTTATGATGTGGAGGTACATTTTCTTGGGAAAAGGGTTAATTAGTTGCAGTGATATCTCTATTAAGATAACCAAACTTTGTGTATTTTATGTAGTCTTTATTTTGTATGTAAATAGTAGCTTTTGAGTTGCAGGTAAAACAGGTTTTTAAGAAAACATTATTTAAGCAGTTACCTTTGCAGAAAACACAGGCAAAGGCATCTTTAATAGATGTTGCGTGAGCTTCTGTCAGGGAAACGGTTTGACTTTGCTAACTCCATCAGTTCCTTCATTGTATTGGACACCTCTTCAATTTTATCTAAAACATCATCAAGGCCAGTATCTTCCTGTCAACTGAAAAACAAGAAAAATTAGCTCCTACTTATTCTCAACAGGACCTAAATTGTTTGAATTATTTTTGATAATTCTCATGCAGTGTGTTTCCATACATCCCAGAAACTGGAAATAAAATGCATTGCATAACACCTACACAAAAATGTTCATCAAGTGTGAATCTTGAAACAATATGTGACTAGTTGTAATACAAAAATAAAATAAAAGTTACTCCTCACTTATCAATTTAGGAGAACTTAAATGCAAATATATAGCCATTATAAT